GTGCAGCCTTATTTGCACGGGTACCCGTGCGGGTATGGATGGCCATGTTTCGCGAGACAAGCCAACTAACGTGGGGGCCACATATTAACATTCACATTCACATGTCATCCTTGATCCATGACATGACGTTCAGTAGATGCGCTGTCGCAGAACCTGACCTCGCAACGCCGTCTCATTAGTCCTCGTCACGATCACCCGAATCGCCTTCATCATACCTCGCTAGCAACATAAAGAGATAGCTCCCAAGCTCTTCCATGTCTCGATAGCTTTACCCCTCCGCTCGTCCTCTTTGTCTTGTCTCACACACGATCACCAACAATATGGAAAAATACAGCCAATTTCGCGACAGAGGTAAAGTTCTCCAAGGATTAATAATATTCACATGCTAATCATTCTTAGCAACGGGCATTGCGCCGTTTCTTCCCGTTTCGACGCCCGTATCAGCTCTCGCGACATTCACACACGCCGCTCTTTTCCTCTTCCGCCTCCCATTCTTCATCGCTTACTTCCTCGGCTACTTCCTCTTCTTCCACTTCCTCCCGCTGCCAGTTATCTTCAGAAAGGTTGCACTATGGGGATTGATGGCCATACCGGGAATATGGTGGGTTGACCTTCAGCTCGACGGTGTCAAACGTGGCACCCTCGCTGACCAACCCCGCGAGCGTTTCCCGCACCCTGGCTCAGTTATCGCTGCCAACTTCTCGAGCCCTATCGATGCGATCTACCTCGCCGCTATTTTTGACCCGATCTTTACCATTTCGTACCCCGATACTCGCAAGGTGCAGCGTGTGAGTTTGCTGGGTGCTGTTCTGGCAGCTCTCTCGCCTGTGCAGACTGGCCCCCCTAAAAATGCGAAACTCGTCGAGATCAAGGACCTTTTGGACAGCAACCCGGGCCAGATTATCGCTGTTTTCCCTGAATGTGGTACCACCAATGGCAAGGCTATTCTGCCTTTCAGCCCGAGCATCCTTCAAACACCAGCCGACGTCCATATCTTCCCTGTTAGCATCCGATACACGCCCTCCGACATTACGACACCAGTGCCTGGAAAGTGGTTCCGCTTCTTGTGGGATCTCCTCTCTCGACCGACGACGTGCATTCGTGTGCGCATTGCTGAAGGCCAAATCAACACGTCTGCCGCCAAGACCAATGGTGTAACATCTTCCTCTTCCGAGCTACGCAACCGTGGTGACGCTAGTTCCAGCGTTTCCCCTGATGAGCAGCGTGTCCTTGATAGAGTAGGCGAGGCACTCGCCAGACTAAGCCGCGTCAAGCGTGTTGGACTTACAATGAAGGATAAGGCGGCCTTCGTGGACGCTTTGAACGGAAAGAAATAAATACTTATGGAAGATTTGGGAGAATCTAGGGTTGATACGATCAACAGAGAGGCCGCTTCGTTTGAAGTGAAGCTGTGTTTGGAGTTCGCATTGCAAGGAGCTATTGGAGGTCATTCTGTTCAGTCGGCCTAATACCCACAATCTTTCGTGGATTTGCGTTGTATTCTTGTGTTTTGTTTTTTTTGGTTATTTCAAGATGCGCATTCTACGTTATAGCTTGTTAGGTAGACTTGTCGGCCCAGAGCATTTTCACGTATTAGCGAGGAGGCACTTTGAAGGCATTAAGAACGAAAAAAACATTGGGATATAAGTTCTGACCCAGAAAATTCTAAATTCGCCTTTTCCCACCCCATTAAAACAGGAATTACATCGTTACATTTGACAATTCTTTTTGGCTTTCGCGAGCCTTTTTAGTTCTTGAGACCACTGTCGGTGACACAGCCCTCACTGGCGTTTCTCACAAGCTGGGCGTACTTGCTCAGCGTACCCTTGGTGTATCGAGGAGCGGGAGCCTTCCAGGCCTTGCGACGTCGCGCAACCTCCTCCTCAGGGACAACAAGATCGATAGCACGGGTCTCGGCGTCGATGACAATGGTGTCGCCGTCCTCAACGAGAGCGATGGGACCACCCTCCATAGCCTCAGGGACGATGTGGCCAATGATGAAACCGTGAGAACCACCAGAGAAACGACCGTCAGTGAGAAGGGCAACGTCCTTTCCGAGACCAGCGCCCATGATGGCGGAAGAAGGCTTCAGCATCTCAGGCATACCGGGACCACCCTTGGGACCGTCATATCGGATAATGACAACGGTCTTCTCACCCTTCTTGATCTCACCAGCCTCGAGACTGGCAATGAAATCGGGCTCAGAGTCGTAGACACGAGCCTTACCCTCGAATCGAAGACCCTCCTTACCGGTGATCTTACCGACACAGCCACCAGGGGCCAGAGAACCGCGGAGGATCTGAATGTGACCGGTAGGCTTGATGGGGTTGCTCAGGGGTCGGATGATGGTCTGGTCCTCAGGGAACCCGGGCATGTTCTCGACATTCTGCTTCATGGTCTTACCAGTAACGGTAATACCAGAGCCGTCAATGATACCCTCCTTGAGCAGGAACTTGAGAAGAGCGGGAGTACCGCCAATCTTGTGCATATCGGCCATGACCCACTTTCCGGAGGGCTTCAGGTCGGCAAGGAAGGGAGTGCGGTCGGAAACCTTCTGGAAGTCCTCAATGTCGAGCTTAATACCGACAGAGTCGGCAATGGCGATAAGGTGCAGGACGGCGTTGGTGCTGCCACCAAGGATGGTAGTGACGATCATGGCGTTCTCGAAGGCCTGGCGAGTCATGATGTCACGAGGTCGAATGTCCTCCTTGAGAATGTTGCGAATAGCAGGTCCAACGCTCTCGCACTCAGCCTTCTTGCTAGGATCCTCAGCAGGGCTGCTGCTGCTACCGGGAAGAGTGAGACCGAGAGTCTCAAGGGCGGTGGCCATGGTGTTGGCAGTGTACATGCCACCACAAGCACCACCACCAGGGCAGGCGTTTCGAATGATGTCGAATCGCTGCTCCTCAGTGATCTCACCAGTGATGTATTGACCGTAGGCCTGGAAAGCAGAGACGATATCGATGGACTCGCCCTGCTTGGTGCAGCCGGGACGAATGGTACCACCGTAGACCATGATGCTGGGACGGTTGACACGGCCCATTGCGATGGCAACACCGGGCATGTTCTTGTCGCAACCAGGCAAGCTGATGTTTCCGTCATACCACTGACCGTTCATGACAGTCTCAATACTATCGGCGATAATCTCTCGACTCTGGAGAGAGTATCGCATACCAGTTGTGCCCATGGAAATACCATCAGAGACACCAATGGTGTTGAATCGGTAGGGAATAAGACCAGCCTTGGCGACGGACTCCTTGACGACGGCGGAGAGGTCCATGAGGTGCATGTTACAAGGGTTGCCCTCGTACCAGACGGACGAGATACCAACCTGAGCCTTGTTCATGTCATCCTCTGAAAGACCAGTGGCGTAGAGCATAGCCTGGGATGCGCCCTGGGCCTTGGGCTGGGTGATGTTGGCGGAGACCTTGTTGAGCTTGTCATCGGCGCGGAGGGCAGAGGCGGAGAAGAAGCGGCTGTAGAGGAGTCAGTATTCAGAAGTAAATTGAGCTTTCAATTGACTGTTCGAGATGGAATAACTTACCCATTGCTCCTCGCAGAGAGGGGGAAAGCTCCCACAGCTCTAGACCTCAACAACGACCTCGAAAGCATAATGACGACGTTTAATCTTTTTCACTCGGGAAAAGGGGAAAAGAAAAACGTCAATTGAAGCTTCAACCACAAACTCAAATTGCGTATGAAGAGAGTCCGACGCCTGAGTAAAAGCGGTGGGATGAGTTTGTGGACTTTTTCTGGTTTGCGATGTCGGCTGCGGTTTTGTTTCCCAAAATTTAGGTTCCCTGTGCTCTTCCCTGTGACTGGGAGAGGGGGGAAGACGTCCCCAGCCCAGGGTGCGAAGAGCTCCCCGCATGACAATTGGAGTGTTTTGATTGGTTGGGTGACCTCATGGAGATGGCTCTTCGGGGGAGGTGCTTCAAGTCCGGAGGAGGCTTAAGCGTTGGAGTCCACTTTGAATAGAGTTATCCACTGAACTTGTGTGATTCAAGCTACGGATGCAATGTAAGATCGTCCATGATGCCGAGGATCCGGCCTCTTCGTGTGAGTCTCTTTGATTACATTTAGATGCTATTTCTATCCTACATTCAGGTTGTCGAAGTTGAGTAGAGAATACATGGTATTGTCATCCTTGTCACCAATTGAGAGCGACACCGGCGGACCATACAGACCCCTGCTACATCATCGGAGTGTTTATTGTTCTGAATGTAGTTTCATGTTTCTATGACTTTGTACTCTTGTCTCTAATTCTACCAGGTCTCATTCGTGTTCTAATAACCATCAGTACAAGCCCGCATAAACAGCCAAACCATGGACCATGTCTTCGTCTCAGTCTTCAAGATCCCATGTCGAGACGTTGAGCTTCTCCTCACTGAACAACATTCAACCATCCAAGGCAACCCACTCCAAATCATCCAGTGCCTTCTTGATCTTCTTCGAAATATCCTCAATGAACTCAAACTTGAAAACCTCATAGTGATGTCCCTCAATATCTACCACATCAGCAAAAAAGTTCTTGTCGTACATATCCCACCCCAGATTCCGCTCCTCACGGCTCAAGTCCACAATATCAGTCCCGTTCTCCGTGGGCACGGCCTTCTTGGCCCGGAGGAGACTAACCCGGGGCCGACGTCCTGCCTCCCAGGCCGGAGGTGTCCAAGCTTGAATCATACGGCGAGCATCGGCCATGGCTAGATCCGCGAGGATCTGGTTCTTGTTCTTTCCCTCCTTGGAGTCTTCACCAGGCATCTTGCGCTTTTCGCTAGAGAATTTATGAGGGTAGATTGTGTCAACCATGAGAATTCCGATGACTTCAATGTTGGAATCTTCAAGCTGCTTTGCGATTTCGAGACTCAAGTGACCGCCCATGCTCCATCCGCCAAGAAGGAGTCGGATCTTTCCAGCTGCGTTGCGACGTCTGGGAAAGTCGGGCTTCTCGACGGTTTCTTTGATCCAGCCTGTGTAGAGACGGGCCATGTCGCTGAGACCACCGTCGAAGGGCTCGCCGCTGTGAAATTTGGGGTTGTAAATGCCGTAGACTGGACGACGGAGAGGTTCTAAGCAGTGGTATGAGAATGTGGTGCCGCCGCCATCGTGGATGAGAAAGGCTGGGACAGCTTCGCCAGTCTGCCAGTCCGCAGGCTGGACTATTTCAGGGTTTGTGTCCATGGTCAATTTCCACTGTTGATTTGATCTTTTTGATTGCAATTTTCGTTGTGCTTGGTTATCACCTGAGTTGTGTTTGGTGAGTGAGAGTAAGAACTTCGCTGAGCGTGATCCTTATCTAGGAAGGTATGCTGAGATCAAATCCTGCAGTCTTAAATGCTGAACAATAATTCGCTCAAATGAGAAGAAAAGAGTATTCTTCAAAAATAAATGCAAAGAACAATTGGATATCTAACAGGTCCGATACACGGGTACCGAACAAATAATCACAGCGTTGTGCTACCAAGTCTAACTCGTATCGGATTTATGACCTTCGGAGCCTATCGGCGGCGGTGACACCTGGCGCCATCGGTAATTGCGGGGCCGGGCCGTGATTGGAGGCCGGCCGGACAAGCATCATATCTCACGCGGCACACAATACGCTTCATCTGATTGTTCATATTTATGGTATCTCATTTCTATCTTACAATCCTTAGTATTGTCTTGCCTCAATGGGCCCAACTTGAGGCAACGCCAAGTATCCCTGTAGTCTCCAGAGAAGCAAATGCAAAGCTCTCATGCTTCCACTTCTAAAGTTCTTCAACACCAAAATCTCATGGTCTCGGAATACCTCTGACTTCTCTCTCAACCTCTCAACCTCTCCTTCTCCTAGTAAGTATCGCAGATCATGAACTGCCATCTTACTGGCATAAGAAGCATCTTCTATATCGAGAGTCGCATAACTGTTCATGTCTTCCATATCCTCTTTCGGGATATAAAGGATTGCTCCACCTCCTGGAATTCTCTTCGCCTCTTCCCAGCTGGCAACTGGCCTTATGAATTTGTGTGGCGCCCATAAACCTTCCCTGCAAGAACGTGTGATGAGCGTATCAACAGCCACACGTCGCAACATCCCAAGAAGTACATCGCCCATGTCTACTCGGAAAACCTTTGAGTTGGTACCATATGGAAGGTTTGCCATGCCTTGGTGGCCACCCATCCTTGCTTGATAACTCTTGCTACTCTTGTTTCCTTCGATTCCTCCAATCATATCGATCAGACTTTTGCGCGCGAGAGTGTAGGCGACGATGCGCGCTCGTCGTTCTATCAGTCCTTCGTTTGTTTCCACATCCTCAACGCCTACTTCTGTGCTTGTCTCAGCTTCGGCACCTGCGTCTCCTGGTGTTGCTTGGGCTGGCGTTGTTTTGGCTTCCGCTGATATGTCGGCTCTCGTTGAACTGGCTTCTGTAGCCATTTTCGCGATTTCGTTTTGTACAAGTCCGATCTGCCTCCGCGCCCGTTCAATCCCTCTCCATATTGATTTCAAGTCATTGGACTCCATCTCCACCTCTCGCTCTTCTCTTGTCGGCTTGACTCTTAAGAAAGAAAATGGGCCTGGTGCCCACCAGTGGCTCGTCTGCTCGGGATCTGGGTGCTCGACCAATTCGAAGTCCTGCAAGAAGTGCCTGGGGAGGCAAGCGTTCGTATTCTTGCACCACCTTGTCGGACCTATCAATGCTTCCGCGTATGGGTTATTTGACAGCTTCTTCCGAAATTGTCCTGATATGGCCGTGGGCATCGCTTTCTTCGTACGTCGTCTTGCCTGCATGAACTTATAGTCCATCACGGGAGATATTGGTAACCTTCCGGCATCTGTGTCTACAGTCTTGTCTTCAGGATGGATTCTCGCTCGTTTGCCGCTCGCTAGTCGATCAAGTTCCGATTCGATTTGATTCAAGAGGGCCATTTTGCTCAATTCGGATTTGTCGTAAGAAACCCATCGTTTTTGGCAATTGATCGTCAATCCAGAAGTTCGAATATGGCCAGAGCAGGCCTTTGTGTATCTCTTCATGATGTCTCGTGTTGTTATGACCAGCTCATCGTCGACTTGTGGTGCTTGTTTGTCGCAAAGCGTTTGAGGATGAACAGCTAAATTTCTCCCGGGGTCGGATCGTTATCGATAAGAGCCCCAGCTTCGTAAAGCTTCCCCCACCACTTCCGCCCGGCCCCGGTCCGTAAACTTACATCACCGTTCACATAAATTCGCGACCATGTTTCTACGGCCAAGAACGTTGCGCGTACTGCGCGGCGTGTCGCAACAACATGTGAGAGCTTTTGGCTTCTCCAGTTCTTCCGGAAACTCGCCAATGTCACCAATGGGCAACATTCCCATGCCCTACATCGAGGAGTCGTCGGTAAGCTACCTGAGTCCAATCTGGTGCCTTCGCGCAGCTAACAATTCCAGGCTGCCGGAAGAAAAACATGTTTGTTCGGATTGGTGTCGCAAATGGTTCAAGAAGCTGATGGGTTATAGGGGATATCTTTTCCAAGCTACTACAGGTGAGGACAAGCTCTAGCCATCGAGCTATCGTTACTAATAGTTCTAGGAACGCATCGTCGTCCTAAATGGTGAAGTTAACGACTACATGTCCGCTTCGATCGTGTCACAGCTGCTTTGGCTCGAGTCCGATACCCCCGATAAGCCGATCACGATGTACATCAACTCTCCTGGTGGTTCCGTCACCTCAGGTAGGTTCGCTCAACAACCAATTCACAATCGAGACTCACAAGGAGCACAGGAATGGCGATCTACGATACCATGACATACATCAAGTCACCAGTATCAACAGTGTGTGTCGGCGGTGCTGCGTCAATGGCCGCCATCCTCCTCGCAGGAGGTGAAGCAGGCAAGCGATTCTCTCTCCCCCACAGCTCGATCATGATCCATCAACCACTCGGTGGTACTCGAGGTCAAGCATCCGATATCATGATTTACGCAAACCAGATCCAGAAGACACGGGAACAGTCGAATAGAATCATGCAGTATCATCTCAATAAGGCAAAGGGTCATGAAAAGTATTCTCTTGAGGAGATTAATGATCTGATGGAACGGGATAAATATCTGTCGCCGGAAGAGGCTTTGGAACTCGGAGTTATCGATGAGATTTTGACGAAGAGGCCCGAGTCGGAGCAAGAGAAGAAGGAGAAGGAAGAGAAGCAGGGAGGGGCTGATACACCCCAGACGAGTTGAGGCTTGGACTTTTGTGTTGAAGATGTATATTATTGCTAACAAGCGTTTATGAAATGCATTCCCAGGTTTGCTTCTGAACATTCATTCTTGAGACCGTACCCACGCTCAGGCTCTTCTCCTGTGTTCAAGAGCAGTGACCCCAGGTACTGCTCCTGGAACCAAACCTCTCACCAGGAGTCAAATCCTAAGTATAATAAACATACATTCCTACGTATCTAACCACGAGGCGTAACAGGATAACCATATACCAATGTCTTAGAGAGCGATGCATCCCTGTCAGAACACTTCAATGATCCTAGGGAGACGAAGTCACGGTGCAGGGTAGCTTCAATGTTTGCACTCCTCCGTAGAGAAAACGCACCCTTGGATACTACTCTATCTTTTCTCAAATTTGAAGCAACAAATGTGTGATATTTTGTTAAAAATGGCATCAAGGTTGCTGTGCTCTTCGACATGGTGCACAGCGGCTGCTGTGGAAGTTCGCCTAATACAACGAATCCCACGCTGGAGAGGATTGTGGCTGCCTATTCAGTTTGTTGGCAGCGAGAGGAAACACTCGCCATATCTGCCAACAGGTATTCATTACCAGACATGGGCACCAGGCTATTTAATGTTCGTGTTGTTCAAGTTCGGTCGATAAAGAAAGACAGAGTTTATGAGAAGATTTGAGTTGAACCAAGGTTCACGCTATATACTGACTGTCCACCCACTTATAGATTTTGTGTGGCAGCATCCTCCAACCAATCTTTGTACGTAGAATCGTAGATACGCTCTCAAAATATGTACTCTTTGAAAAGTAACCAATTCGTTTGTTTAGTTGTGGTCGATGCGGAAGACCGCAACATCGTGTGTCTGCAAGTTGGCTGAGACAGTCTTGCCCTTTCCTTTAGCACCAGTCAGAAGCTCAGTCCACGAGTACTCCATATCCTTAAGTCCTGGAACGTCCTTGAGGTTCAACTGAGTGTTCAAGTTGCCTTTGCTAGCGACGATGGCGACAACTGTTCCGGTTGAGATGGGCCCGGACCAGTAAGGGTAGATCTCGCTGCTTCCCTTGGCGGGAGTGTTGGGAGGAGTGAAAGGCACAGCAGGCTTGGAGAGCGAGTCTTGGTTGACGGCGAGAAGGCCCTGGAGCATAGTTAGTAGATGTTTTCAGCGGCTGAGAAAGTGGTTGTAGGTACCTTGTTTGTGATCAACTTGACCTCATCGCTGTTAAGCTTGGTCATGTCTGTTCCGAGAATGATAGGGGACTTGGTAATACACCAGATGGCAAAGTGTGTTCGCTCCTCAGCAGGAGTAAGAGCACCATTGGCAAGGATCTAGGTTTTGGTCAGCCCCATACTCACTCAAAGCCAAGTTAGGGTCAAGACTCACCATCATATCGAGATCATTGTAGTGGCCTGGTACAGTGTACTTCAGGATAGGTGCCGCCTGGTTAGCAATACGGACAACATCCGCCCATTTGCCCCAGTTGTCCTGGCTCATTCGCCACATGTGTCCAACCTGAGCACCCCAAGTCCAAACCTCATCATAACCCCAGTTGCAAAGCGAATAGAGGATGTCCCTTCCTGTAGCGCGAAGAAGATCCCTCATCTTCTCATATCGAGGCCTAGAGCTAGGAGCTTGGTTGTTGGGGCATGTCTGGATATCGGCACCGTTGCCTGTGTTGCAGGGTGTGTAGCAGTTGTCGTACTTCCAGTAGTCAACACCCCAGCTGGCAAGAAGATTTGCGTCTTGCTGCTCGTGGCCTTGACTTCCTGGATAACCTGCGCAAGTCTTGGCTCCGCCGTCACCATAAAGACCGAACTTGAGACCCATTGCGTGGATCTCATCGGCGACTGGCTTGATACCTCTTGGCCACTTTGCAGGGTCAGGAACAAGATTGCCTTTGGAGTCACGCTGCTTTGTAGACCAGCAGTCATCAATGTTGACGTATTGGTATCCAGCATCCTTGAGACCAAGGTTGATAAAAGTCTTGGCTGTAGCAAGGGCAACTTTCTCGCTGGCTGCGTTACATTGTCCTTGATTCTGGCTGTAGTGTTAGTGACTAACGCATGTTATGATAGACCTGAGAGGAGCCCACCCAGCCGTTCCAGCCAAGAGCAGGAAGCTTTCCAACTTCACGAGTTTGAAGATGATTTCGTGAAGGGACAGCCGTGGCTAATCCGGCCAGAGCCACGACACCGAGAGATTGAGTATTGAAGAACATCGCAAAGACACCAGAATTGTGATTGAGTATGTACAAGATATCAACTGAAAAGGCACTGGAAACATGTTCCTTAAATACACTTGACCCATGAACATGATCGTCTAATTCCGTTACGGCACTTCATAATGCTTGAGCTGCCGGCTAATAAGACAACCGCTGGTTAAACTCGTATAAGTCGATACCTCCACAAAAACAAGTCCGGGGAAAGTCTCAGATCGGAATTGATCAACAAATCACACGACGCCCAACTCCTATTAATTGGCGCGGCTCATCGCCAACTCCCGTTTTCCCCAGATGGAAAAATGCACTTCTTTTACCGCTTCAGCGTTGGTGATCCACCGAGGATCAAGCCGAGTACTACCTTCCTTTGCGTGGCGTATTTGAAGTCGTTCGATGAATTGAATGGTGCTGTTCCAAAGTGAGGTTGATGATTGAACTTGCGGGCCAATCGGAGGTGTAGCTAGTATTTCCCTACTGGGTTGAGGATTAGCGAAACCTTTTGGTGACCCTTTCATAAGCGGACCAAACATGATGTAAACTTAAACAACCTTGTTGAAACAGTCGATTCAATGCGTTTTTCTCAGGTCGGATGAACTGTTACTACCTGGTATGTTTCTTCTTAATTGAGACGTGGGCAGGGTAGTCGGGATGAACGTGCCAGTTGAGTGGTGCGGATCTTGGGTAAACAGAAACATGCAGCTGATGATATTCGGACCGACATTACAGCTGAAGTGCGGAACAGATACAGAAAGAATACACTCTTAGGACCTTGATGGCGATCATTGTGATCAATAGAGACATAGGCTAGAGAAGAGGCGAAGACGAAGCCAACCAGGTGAAGAAGAGAGATCTCGAGAAAGTTCACCAAGAGTATCAACCGATCGCATGATCAAGGGTGTCTGCCCACCCAGCTGCAATTGTTGCTCAGGCTAGCTGAGAGCGAGCCAGAGAGGCAAATTTCAGGAAACGGAGACATGCGGTTTCGAAACATACTCATGGATAGTCTAAGGTATAGAGTCTCAGGTTACTTACACAACGAACCTTAAGGGGGGCCCATAGAGAGATAGACGAACTGGCTAGGCCGGCAAATCGTCCTTATCATGACCGAATGAAGTATCATTTGTAACAGACTTGGGCAATCATAAGTAAATATCAGTCATCCAAAATATCTTTAGCTAATTACTCATGACTTTATTTCCTAATCAGGCAATTAGACAGCTCCTCCAAGCCTCAGTAGTCAGGTCTAGCCTCTCATGGTGTTTTCCGACAAGCTCGGCATTCAAAATTGTTCCTGACGTCAGATTCGAGACCGTTCATGTTGAACCCCACCAAAAAAGTGCCCCGCGTACCCCTCCGCTTCCATGATGGCGGACCAGACCTTTAAATAATTGCTCCCTGAAGATCTTCAAGACCGATCAGCAGAAAGATTATTCTCCCTCCTCTTCATATCTCGTTGGTGCGAAAGATAGCAGAATGGAGCACGACACCAAGACCCGTATGTGCTTCTCGACTCTACCTTCGAACGCGACTGACTCCGCCGACAGCCCAATACAAAACGAGCGATCCTACCTCGTTCGCCAGTGAATCCGTCAAGAGGCGATGGCCTGTCATTCTGGCTAGACTCCTGTATGTACCGCGTGCGAGGCACTCTCTAACTCTCAACTAGACCCAAGGAATTGACGATGTCTACCGCGCCGTTACCAAGACCAGTGATCCCGAGAAACTAGCGGAGGGCAAGAAGATTATCGAGCAACTCGCCAATCTCAAGTACGAGGTTGAGCATGACCGAAAGCTCAGGTACGATATACTTGTGTCGCGCAGAGAAGAACACCACGGCTGACTGCGTAGTCCCCTCCCCGACGATGGATTCACGGAAGAGATCGAGACATATAACAAGGAGCTTGAGGCTCTTGGCCCCGATGCTCACTGGTACGATGTACCATGGCTGTTCTCCGAATGCTACCTATACAGGTAAGTCCATGCGACAAGAACTCTCTACATGCGCCGCTCACAATATTCAGACGCATCGCGGCCATGTTCCGCATGACCGAACACTGGAAATCCTACGATCTTTTCGCCCGACAGAAGATGGACACATTCCGATCATCAAGGCCCGCCGTTCTCGAGCTCGCTAGCAACTATAGACAATTAGTTGAGCAGCTCCGCGCTGATAAGGACTCAACACATGATCCTAAAGCTGAGAAGACTCTGTTCCAGGAGATGTTTGAGATTTGCCTTTGGGGAAATGCCACAGACTTGTCACTCCTTACAAACTTGACATATGAGGATATACAGAAACTCCAGGGTTCTGAGGCTCGTAAGGCGGCTGAGAAGAACATCTTGGTGAATGATCTTCCTAAGGCGTTTGACATTCTCAAGAAAGCGCAAGCTGAGGGCAAGAAGGAGCGTCGCGTTGATATCGTCCTCGACAATGCTGGCTTCGAGTTGTATGTCGATATGATTCTGGCTGGGTATCTTCTCTCGGCTGGTCTCGCCACACAAGTCGTCCTACGACCCAAGTCCATCCCTTGGTTCGTCTCCGACGTTGTGCCCAGCGATTTCAGTGGCTTGTTGAACGCTGTTGCCAACCCTCGTGCTCTATACGACACACCATCAGAGGATGAGGAACTCCAAGGCAAGAAGCCTGAGCCTCTATCTGAGGAAGGCGAGAAGGACCTTAAGTTCCTATTCCAGGAGTGGGCTACGTTCCATGCTGAGGGACAGCTTATGCTCCGCCCTAACCGATACTGGACTTATGGCGGTAGCTTCTGGCGATTACCCGCTGAGAACCCTGAGTTGCATGAGGAGCTCAAGGAAGCCGAGCTTGTCATTTTCAAAGGCGACCTGAACTACCGCAAGCTCGTCGCTGATGTAAGTAACCTCCATCTTGTTTGAAACCAATGCTGACTTGTGACAGGCTGCTTGGCCCGCTACCACACCTTTCATCGAGGCTCTCGGCCCCATGGGTCCCTCTTCAGGTGTCAACGTCTTGTCCTTGCGAACTTGCAAGGCCGATGTTGTCGTTGGTCTTCCGGAGGGTAAGGATGAGGAGTTGAAGCAACTGGAGGGCGGCGGTGGCGATTCTGGTGCTCGAAAGTGGGCGTGGAACGGAAAATGGGCTGTTGTGAACCTGTCTCAGGGTCATTAGAAGGGGTGAGCGACGGTTCATTTTGTTGATATGATTATAGATGTTTAGACGTATAAAACACTTGATAGAAAACATATACCGATTCTCTTGGACAATATCCCTTCACTGCTTTCAAGTTGGGGTAGCAACAGACACGAAGGGTTCTGTTTCTTCTGCTTCTGCTTTGTTCAAGTTTTACTGTGTTCAATCTACACGCACGTGTTATAGGACTGTTTGTGATCAGATGATACCACCAGAGATACAGATTCAAGTTGAAAATGACGAAAGAAGCCTATTCGGAGCAACGTTTTACGAACAGGAAGTCAGGCTCGATTCATAGCCCATGATCAACGACCAGGACAACCCCAGACTTGACGCTACCAAGTCCCTTTTCGATATCGAATATGCCGTTGAGAAATACGCGTCACAGTGGTATTCTTATATTGACTTCTTCTTGTCCTTCTTCGCTTCCTCCGAGGCCATTCGCTCTCGTTTCGCTTCTATCTGTGCGACGATGTCGGCGTGGATAGAGCCGGGCGTACGAGCACCACTATTGCGAACGCGATCCTGAAGGAACCTTTTAGTCTTTAGTCTCTAAACCTTTGAACTATAATACCTGATCGAGCGCAAGACGCCCATCGTCATAAGTCGGACATACTTCCGCGTTGGGTTGTGCGGCAAAGCACTCGTGTTTAGAGACCAGGGACTGGGGAGCTTGATCAGGCGAAGTTAGCTGAAGGATGAAGATGATGCGTGAGGGAGACGAACGGTTTGATGTGCCTTGAAGAGGGCCTTCGCTTTTAGTAGTTGGGGAAGAAGCTTCCCACTGGTTAAGCACTTCTTGAGTAGGCATGACGAACGACTTGAGGTGTTTCAATCTTTGTTAGGATAGGTCGATAGAAATGGAGGGTTGTGTTGGGAAATGAGGATAATTAGGTGGTTGAGTCGAGAGGATGAAGTTATAGCAAAAACGAAAGTCAACTGATTTTTAACCCTTCACATGAAACCTGACGTCACATAGATGCACATTGAGTTACAGAATGCGGCAAATCATGTGCAAGTTTTGAAAGTCATCGTCGTTGTATTTGTGCGACAGAAAGAACGAGCCGCGAAGGCTGTTATTGGGTTTCGTTGAACTCGGTGTAAGTCTGGCTGCTCCAAGATGAGGCATTCAGTGGTCATAAACCAATGGTTAATTGGCGTCGTTAGAAAGAGTTGAGAAATACCACTGCCCAATTTAGCCATCTCCGAAGGGATCCTTTGTGCAAGTGAAGCTCTTTCTCATAGCCAACTCCCGGTCTGAACTTAAGATATGAAGTCTACCTGAGAGTCTGTCCCGACAGCTTGGGCCTCGCTCGCCAAGGATGCCAGAATGACTTAGCAGGTCCACTGTCGTCAAACTTGTCACTCGGCACAAAAGACGGTGCGACGTGTTATCAGAAGATGCAAAAGGTTTAGTTTAACATGAACTATCCGATATTCTCTTTTTATTCCATTCTGGCGATGACAATACTTTAATTAGATCGTTGATCCCAAGGAAGAGGTACCTGAGCAGTTCCTTCTTTTAGTCGCCCGGGACACGGGTTCCTGGTCTTCTGGAAGGCGCCCCGCAAATGCAAATGCAAACGGAGCTCTTCCGCGTCAGGTGACGGATTTAGGTTCCTCATCTTGCATTATACATCAACTTTAATTGACCTGATCAGCCATTGTAGCATCTTTGATCGTTTATGAATTCAGCGGCAAGACGTCATAATGGACATGAACAGTGGACGACCTCTCATTCCTCGCCTTCCAAGCGGTGTATCTCCTCAAAACCACAGTCCATCAAATACAAGACCTGCGACCTCGGCTCGACGACAGATCCGCTCACGCGAGGGATGTTTAACATGCAAGTATGTATAGAATTTGTATCACCTGACTTCAAATCTAATCAATTTGAAGGAGGAGAAAAGTCAAATGTGATGAGCAAAGACCACGATGCTCTCATTGCGAGAGACTAAATATGGAGTGCAAATGGCGACCTCAGCAACGATCAGGAGTTCAAAGGAGACAAGCGCCTTCCACCGAAGTCCCTGATCAATCTATCGAGCAGCACCTATCACCAAATTTCGATACATCACCGGGGAGCTCAGTATTCCAACCAGGAAATGCAGTTGATGAAGTCTTCGATTATGCAAGTTTCATGTGGGACTACGGTGATTTTTGGCAACACGCCTCACCAGAGACACAGCAGCATCAGGGGTTGGAACCAAACATGTTGGTAAGACGAAACTATTGACTACATCTACGCGGGCGGTGCTGACACGAAAAGGCGGCTCAATCGCAGATCACATTCCCTGACAGGACAGCTTTTGCGACACCACTTCCAGCGCCCTCACTGTCACAGAGCAATGGTAGTCGGGACCAAGATACTACGGATGGGAGTGCTAAGTTGATGGAATTCTTCGCCAGCTCCGTCAATCCCCCTATCATCGCTGAGGTCGAGACTCAGAAGAAGTGGGTGTCCATGCGACAAGCTGTTGTCGAAATGGCAAGCATTTCTCCCATGGTGCGACACGCGATCATGGCCTTTTCGAATTTACTTCTTTCTCGACGCGATGGGAACTGGACTATGAGCGATGAGGATCACTATCAGCGAGGCGTTACCGAGGTCGCGAGCCATGACGGCACATCAATGTCGGAACACAGCCCTGCACGCGAATACCTTCTCGCAGCATTATTCTTTCTCAGCTATATCGATATCTTGGAGAGTCGTCTCGATGCTGCGCACTCAAATCTCAAGCGCGCATATACGCTCTTCCAAAGTAGTAATAAGCACGGCCTGACAGCGGTAGAGAAGCAGTTGCTTCTTTGGATTCGACTTCTTGATGGTCGGGCGGTGACGGCTGGTGGCTCTGGTCTTTTTCTCACTAAAGACGACGAAGTTCTTTTGGTAGAAGCATCACCCGCGAGTTTCGATGGTGAGCCCGAAGAAGTTTCGAAAGATCCCACCGATGACATTGAGGACGTGTTGTTTCAAGTATTGTATCAACCTGGCGTTGTGTTCTACCAAAAAGTCCAAAGCTTCATGGGGAGGATATCCAAGATAGACCCCTGGCATCGTTCTCGAGGGACGGTCGAAGACGAAATCGAAGTCATGAACATCGGTACGGTTATAGCGGCTGATTTGCGAACTCTATACGAACACCGTCCACCATTGATGGACTTTGCTGTGGCAGGCAAGCTAAAGGAGCCTCACGTCTCGAAGCATCTAGCTTTTGTCATCACACGAGCATTTCGAACGTACCTGTCAAACTATTACGCAAGCAAAGTCCACCTCCACCGAGTTGCGTACAAGAACCTTCCCCTGACCAAGGAGGCGTCTGAGGCGTTGGACCAGATCCGAAATCTCGCTAGACAAATTGTGGCGGACTTGGACCCTGAGGATACGCTCCCCGTCAACATGCTCTGGCCGCTGCTGATGCTGGGAGTTGAAGAGCAAGATGCCAACGAAAAGGCGTGGATAAAGACTCAAATTCTCAGAATGGAGAAGGTTGCTGGCAACGCGCGCATCACGGCGCAAGTGTTAGAAGAGGTTCAAGCTCGACAAGATGCTGCCAAGGCACGAATGGATATCCGGGCCGTGATGCATGCCGTTTTCAACTCATGCTTTGCCATTGTCTGAGTTATTTGAACATGGTCGGCTTCTAACGGCTTGCTTTCTGGAAGAGCACGGAACATCGCCAATGGATTACCACCAATGGTCGCTCACCAACCTTTCAGCAACTCCAAGTACAATTTAGCTTCGCATATGCATCCGGCATATCGGGACGAACTAGTTCACATGGCTCATGCCACTAATATCATGCGACTTGGCATGGATTGCTTCTCTTGTTCTTCAACAGTTCGCGCTGACGGTCGGCTCGATGCCCCACCCACACTCGTCGAGCCGATCGGATGTGGCTGTCTCCAACTTCCCCGCATGATGCTAAAGTGGATGAAGCTGGGGATGGGTCTTGGCACTTGGACGAACCGACAAACCATCATGGTCATGAATTCCATAGATCTCCGCATGGGACGTGGCATGATACCCATGGATCCGATGGGGGCAGAAAGAATATCCCCACAATGTCGGAGTGTGGAACAAAACCCTCCCCATTGATCTTGAGACGATTGATCATCTCCTGCTCTGATCTTGTTCTTCATTCTTCATTCCAACATCTTGTGATCTGAACAAGCAGTATCCCAACATCTAATCTCAATTATTCACAATGGGCTCAATCGCGACAACGAGCAAGTCATTCCCTGGCGGAATTCACGTTCCCTCTCTGACTTGGTTTGCCAATGATGCCAACCAAGAGATCGACTGGGACGTGCAGAAGAAGCATATCGAGTTCTTGATAAACTCTGGTCTTGACGGAAGTATGTTCAGACGAATGCTTCACATGAACCAAACTAACAAACTGCAGTCGTTATTGCTGGAACAAACGGAGAGGCCGTCACACTCTCAGCCGCCGAAAAGTCACAGCTCGTCCGAACCACTCGAGAGCTCGCAGTCTCCCTCGGCCGTCCCGATATCACAATCACATTGGGCACCTCATCACAAACCACACGAGATGCCATCAACGAGACAAAGCTCGCCAAGGAAGCTGGCGCCGACTTTGTCCTCGTTCTCACTCCCAGCTACTTCCACTTCGCTATGACACAAGATGCCATCGTGGCTTTCTTCGAAGAGCTTGCCGAGGCGAGCCCTGTTCCCGTCGTCATCTACAACTTCCCTGGCGTTGTCGCTGGCCTTGACGTCAACTCAGAGATGCTCGAGCGCCTGGGCCAGCACCCTAACATTGTCGGCGTGAAGTTGACATGTGGTGGTATCGCAAAGGTTTCTCGCATAGCAGCTCAGTTCAAGTCCGAAGACTTCTTTGCTCTCGCTGGACAGAGCGACTGGCTCGTTCCCGCTCTCTCTGTCGGAGGCACAGGCACCATCACCGGTGTCGCGAACTTGTATCCCAAGACCTGTCTGCAGATCTACGATTTGTACAAGGCTGGCAAGACAAAAGAGGCTGAAGCTGCACAGCTTGAGCTGGCAAAGATGGAATGGGGATTTGCCAAGGGTGGTATCAACGGTACCAAGTGGGTTGTTGCTAAGCTCCGAGGATATCCTCTCGAGAGTTGCCATTGCAGACGACCTTATCCTAAGTATAGCGATGAAAGTAAGCAGGAGTGGATTTACAAGGTTGTTGAGCCTTTGTCAGCTGTTGAGAAGGGTCTTGGTAAGAGGGAGGAGAATATCTAGACGGGTGTTTTGGAGATGATAAAATACGATCTTACTTGAAAGAAATATAAACGGAAAAGCATATGAATGAAAGAAATCAAGACTATTGAAAGACATTTCATCTCGATGTTCAACATTTAACACTTTAAGCAAACTCTGTTTATCTGTTTATATTGACATCCCAACAATAGTGCATGTAAGACTGCAGACTTTAACAATAAAATCTCGACTCTGAATTGTCACTGATGCTTCGTACTTCACGATTTCAGTCATTTTGCCCCTACAGGTGAAGCTCTCCAGCTCTCATCTTCTTTTGTCTAGTCTCACTACCGAATCATGTCCCGGATCAAAGGGTCGGAATTGTTAGTCTGGTATTCATCATGAACACCCCGTTGTAAACCGAGTTGCGAGTCGGATGTCTACTATCAGGCCACCATCAATTCAGCTAAGAACATTTCTCTGACTGTTAATGAATCTATTCCGGCATTAGTTTTCGTTCAAACATGGAACAAAGTCATATGATGCCTTGGAAATTCGGTATATCGTTCGCCTAAGTTACCGATCTTGTTAGCCAAGCATCCCCGCATGACCAAAGAACCAATCGCCTCTCTTGGTCGCATCGGCTCGCGTGTCGGATCCTTTTCCAAACAAAATCTCAACTGACTCATGATGAACTACTACACCCCTGTCACTTCTTATTCCTCATGCGAAAGGAAAGAAAAACATGGTTGGAATGACCTCACCCTCGTCTTCTCCACACCCATCCCCGGATTATTATTCTGCTTTCCCCACGCCCCCCGGATTGACGATGGGATAAGCTATATATCCGAGGGGACTTTCCTGCGGGGGATGAAGGATTTACATGCAACACAGCAGTTCTTCACTTCCATTTTCAGAAGGTTCATTTATCAGAAGATAAACATTAGACAATATGGGTGGCTTTCGCGCTGTGGAAGATAGGCCTACGCCAAAGGAGGTGTACAATTGGCGACTGTACACTGAGGCTGCTGTTATTGCTACAGGATCGCTGCTGTAAGTTCGCTCACTAAAACGAGAAGTTTGAGTATTAACAATTATAGGTTCGGTTATGACTCTGCTTTTATCGGCACTACCATTGCTCGCGATAGCTTCAAGCGTGACTTTAACATCAAGCCCGAGGACTCGGCTGATATCTCGAGTAACATCACTGCCACTTTCCAAGCTGGTGCTTTCTTCGGTGCTATCATTTGCTTTCTGAGTATGTTTTTAATCTTCTGGACTAGGGACGATTGCTGACAGATTTGAAGTTACTGAGAAGATTGGTCGCAAGTGGGCTCTGCAGGCCAACGTTGTTGTGTTCCTCATCGGTGCTATTCTCATGACTGCTGCCACTCACCAACTGTCCTATATCTGTAAGTCACTCTTCAATTCATCTCAGTCTCTATCTAACATCTTCAGACGCTGGTCGCGCTCTCACCGGTATCGCATGCGGTGCCATCACCGCCACAGTCCCCAGCTACATCGCCGAGCTCTCTATCGTCTCCATTCGCGGTATCCTAACCGGTCTCTTCGAAGTAACATACCAAACCGGTTCTCTGATCGGCTTCTGGATCAACTATGGCATCAACCAGAACATGAACCCTTCTTCCGCTGCAGCATGGCGAGTCCCCATGGCTGTTCAGATCGCCCCCGCCGCTATCCTCTTCATTGGTGGATTCTTCCTGCATGAGAGTCCGTTGTGGTTGATGCGCAAGAATCGTGAGGAGGATGCTACCAAGGCGCTTGAGAGTCTGCGACAGATTCCTCGTGATCATAAGTGTAAGTTTTGTTGGCCCAGGATGAGAATTTGGTGCTAATGGTGGGCTAGATCTTCAGGAGGATCTTGATATGATTCGAAAGCGTCTTGCGGATGAAGCCCTCGTTGCTAGCAGGTTTGGTACCGGACCTTGGGCTCTTTTCCGAGGCGCTGTATCTGAACTTACCCGCAAGGGAATGCGAAACCGTGTTCTGCTTGTTTTCTGCTCTTTTGCTCTGCAGAACATGTCTGGTGCTGCTGGTAAGTTGACCACCGCATTTCTACACAAGACACTGCTAACCATCGACAGCTATCAACTATTACTCACCCACTCTTTTCGGTTCTCTCGGCATCAGCGATGTTGCCCTGTACACTGGTATCTATGGTCTTGTCAAGGGTATGTTCAACAGTCCCCCGATACTAAGCTCTTACTGACTCTTTGTAGCTGTTGCATCTATCATCTTCTACGGTGCTCTCATCGACATGTGGGGCCGACGTAACCCTACCATCATCTCATCCGCCATGTGCTCTGTCTGTCTCTGGATCGTTGGAGCTTATGTCAAGATTGGACACCCCGCCACTATCATTGCTGAGGGCAAGGAGCTTTCTCCTTCGACTGCCGCTGGTGGTAAGGCTGCTACCGCTATGATCATGATCTACTCTGTCTTGTAAGCTTTTCCATACCCACGACGCGGATGACAGTATTCTAACTTTTGATAGCTGGTCGTTTGGTCTCAACGGTATCCCCTGGATTGTCTCGGCTGAGATCTTCCCTGGTGCTCTCCGAACCTTGACAGGTACATACGCAGCCTGTGTTCAATGGTAAGACTCCTTCACACATATCCCAAATACACAGTAGCTAACAACTACAGGCTCACTCAATTCGCCATCACCAAGGCTCTGCCTTACATCTTCAAGTCCTTCGGCTACGGAACATGGTTCTTCTTCGCATGCTGGATGATCACCGCCACCGTCTGGGCCTTCTTCTTCCTCCCCGAGACAAAGGGCAAGACCCTCGAAGAGATGGACGTCATGTTTGGCTACGTTCACGATCGCGCTCCAAGCGAGCAGGACGATATGGTCAAGGCTGGTGCGAGATCCTCTGTGACTGAGCACAAGGAGGAAAATGTTTAAATAGGGGTTACCTAAGTATACACACTCTACTCGAAATCTAAACCAGAGGGATATCTCCCCCATTGGCAATAAATCCACAAGGACCGTTACTAATCGTCGTTCCCCTCCTCACATCTGGTGAAGTGATGAATGATGAATTGAAGTTGTCGTTGGGATTGCAGGAGTTCGCAATTACCAATTCGCAGCCTCCTGGGAAGTTGGACCAGATGCAATTACGAGTTTGATGGCATGCTACACAGCATTCGTAAGCATTCCGTGCTGTAATTCCCACTTGGATCTGATTTCTTGAACCACCGTAGTTGATTTGCCAGATGAAATGTCCTCCGTTCGCTGAATTGATGAGGTTATTCGCTTGACATGCAGCGTATGTCGTTGCAGTAGCGAGAGTTGTGGTCGCAAAGAATGTCGTATTCCAATCGATAGGCCTAGTGGTCCAAGTCCAAGTCGAGGTAGTCGTCTCAGTGATCACATTTTCCACAGTGGCCTGCACAGTCGTACTCTCAGTCCGCGTACTAATAACTGTAGTAGTAACAGTCGCAGTAGCAGTGTTCGCAGTTACGTTCCGAGTCACAGTTATAGTAGGTAGCGGCGTGCGACATCTAACCCGGGTAACGGTTTGGGCGGTCAGAGTGAACATAGTAGTGTTGCAGACAACAGCTTGGATATCTGGCCAGCATCTCTTTTCCAGGGCCGGTTGAGCCGTTGGTACCAACTTGTCATCGCCACGTTTGTTACGGCGTCGAGGGACGTAGCCTGGTTCAGAGGCGATGGGGACGAAGCCTGCTGTAGCAGGAATAGTAGATGTGCGTCGAATGGTAGCTGTCAATGTCACGGTACTTGTTGACGTGACAGTAGTAGTAGCTTCTTCCGTGTCGGTGGAGGTGACTACACGGGGTCAGAATCATAGTCCTCTTCGGGGGCTTTTGGCTCACCATTGGTCGTGACAGTAGACGTCTCGGTGACCCGCAGAGCAGAGACCACAGTTGAGTTGACAGTTTGAGTTCCGGTTGTGGTTGAGGTGCTATTGAAGACAAAGACTGTCGCTGTAGGACAGACGGTTACGATGCGGGTTAGTGTTAACTGAATGGTATTCGTTATCGTAGTGGGAGGTGTACGCGAAGCAGTAGGAAAGGCGCCGCATCCTCGCGAAGTCACACATGTTCCTGTAGTAAATACATTTTGGGCGATAGCCACGCCGATCAAGGTGTAAATTAGTGATAGGAGGTACATCTTGATGATATTATGTTCAGGCTGGGATGATTGTGTTTTCAAGAGACAGGGAGAGAGTGGGCGATCTAAGAATGTTATAAGGACAGTACCTCCAATATTGATCTCCCCTCGATTCATCGTATTCATTCCATGTCTTCGAGTCATACAGAGAAGTGATGATGCATAAATGTCCATGATGGCGCCTTGATTTGCAAAATGAGGCCCGAGGCTTCGGTGATACAGTCAACCACTATACAAATAATCTTGTCCGCCTAGCGGCCTATTCTTTCTATTGTCCGAAGTTATATATACAGATATGTTCAGCTTGTGGAACCTCAGGTGTTGACAAACTTATAACCTTTGAGAAGGTCAAGCATAAATGTCATAGGGTTATCCATTTGGAAAGAAAATAAAACATGCTTGCAGTTGAATTCGCAACCGCAATGTGAAGCGCCACTCTACACAAACAAGCCATACATACCATGGAAAATATTCCAATTGGACTATCAACTGCTTTTGGATTATTTACACTTCACGGCATGAAAGGTTATCAGCGCAGAGAAAGGGCAGCGTGCATAGTCCAGAGCTACGTGGCCATGACGAATGATTTATCTCAAGCACTGCCAGCAGTGATGGACAATGAGTCTATGACTACGTCAGAAGAACAAAAAAAGAATTTCTTTGTTATAGAGGGGTTTCCGTACCTATTTTGGGTATCTTCAACCTCAGCACAGGTAAATAGTTGGAACCCCTACCAGGAGAACAAAGAACAAAGAAGCGGCTCATTGCTGAAACAGGGATCTGAACTCTTACAATTAAAGCTGTTAGTTGGGTGTTTGTTTCATGTTTCAGGAACAGTCTAAAGAAAGAAACTGTGGCGTTGTTGAAGGTGAGGATATTGAAGAACTTATGAACAGAAGCACTCATATAAAGATGTATAATAATCACTTCAACGTTCTTGTTCAAATAGCATATACAACAAGAAATAAAGAATATCATATCATATGTGAAGCTCAGTTTCTCGCAAAATGGAACGATCTATGTACAATTACACTTCAATTCCACAATACCAATATCAGCAACCTCAACACACAATGCAGACTGTCAACCCAGCTTTGTTGACTCAACAAGCATCCTACGCTCCCTCATACACTGGTAGACCTTCAAACCCTATCACTGCATCCAGTTACAATAGACAAACTCAAAACAATACACCTTCACCATCGCCATACTCAAGTATGGGGCGACAAGAAATATGGATGGGAAGCGTGAGCTTCACGGATCGCTTCACTAGAGACAGTATGGGTTATGGTCGAGCAACACCAGACGTAACCTTAACTTATGAGTCTGAACCTTTGGAACCTCTTTTTGGAAGAGCGCAGCCTTTGCCGCAACTACCTCCTCCAGATATCAGCAACCCACTGCGCGCTCAAGACAGAGACAGAGGAGACAAGACGTGGTCTCGCAAGCAACTACATTCAGGATATATTGAAGTGCCCAGAAAGGTCATTCACAACGGAAAGGAGAATATAGTCACCAAGACGGTGTATTTCAACCGAAGGTATGGAGGGTATTGGCACAGTCGACCATAGATGACATTCAGGGATTCTTCAAAGGAGTTATATTCATGGCCGGCATATAGACAACAATCGGGTATAGATCTCATAGAGACATAATTCATAACTCATCTCAGCGATTCGCTGTCTTTTCGTGTCCCTGTACCTCAACGAGGTTGACTTGGTGATCTCTCTGGGCTTCAACGAACGGCTGCTTCTTCCAATGTCGTGCAGGGATACCATTACGAAAGAAGCCGTTTATCTCCTCCATACTGCGGCCTGTAACTTCGCCGACGCAGAAGTATACGTAAGTCAACGTGACGAAGCATAAGCCTGTATATACGAAGCCTGTCTTGGGACCGAGGTTGGCGGAGTAGTAGAGGTATGGTAGGGTGAAGACGGTAGCCCAGACCGTGACCCAGAAAGAAGCGACTGCGACTGCGTAGATTTTGTTTCGGTTTCTTCCAACGGCCATTTCGGAAGCCTAAGTCAAGAGTGTCAGAAAGACAACAAGTGAAATGGCGAAACACTTACAATAGTCCAGCCAAGGGGACCCCAAGCAAAATTAAAGGCTACAATCTCAATAATCACAAAACTGATAATCACTTTCCCTACAGTTTCACTTGGAGTTCCACCGGGAATACCCAAGCATCCTACCACAAAGATAGACACTGTCATAACGCCCGTGGTGATCAGCAAAAGAGGTCGTCGTGGGATCTTGTTGGCCAGCAACACCGCCGCAAGGACGACAAAGACCTGAATGATGAATACAATAAGTGTCATTAGAAACGGGTCTTTGAGACCAATTGCTTTGGAGAAGATGGTGCCGAAGTAGTAAAACCATTGGATTCCGTTGATCTGCTGGGCAATCAGGGCACCTGCGCTGTAGATCACTTTGCGACGTTCAATCGGATCTGTGATTAGTTGAATCCACGCACTTTCGATTTCACTAGAACTTTCTTTTTCGAGATCTTCTTCGATATTTTGCATCACGGGTTTGGCGTCGTAGTGCTTGTCTTCATGGTGAAGTAAGCGGAGAGAACGCATCGCTTTGTCATGACGACCACGACGGAGCAACCAACGCGGCGATTCTGGAAGCCATGTAATTCCGAAAAATAGAATCAATGGGAAGATAAGCTGAAATCCAATTGGAAATCGATATGCAAAGCTCGTGTCGTTGTGAATAACACTCCTGTTGATACCAGCAGCGATGATCTGTGAGATAGACAAAACAAGCTGCCAGCACATAAGAAGGGGACTTCTCAAAGACTCCGGCGCTATTTCCTACAAGTAATCACACGATCAATAAGAAGACTCTCACATAATCAATCGGAGACTTTAGAAAACCTACTCCCATGTACAAAGGCGAAGTTACCGAAAAGGTTCCCACCCCAAACCCGGATACGGCTCTACCGGCGGTGATAAGAGCACGACTCGAAGTCGTAGAGAGCTGCATTACAACACCAACGACCACGACAACGGAGCCGGTGAAGAGCGAGCCCTTTCGGCCGAATAGATCGTTTAACGGTGCTGCTAACAACGATCCCACTAACTCGCCCACATTGATCATGCTCGTCATGACAGCTAGATTCTGGGGAGAGATGTGGAATTCGCCATCATCACCCCGCGTTCCAAAGTCGCGAACAAAGACATCTTGACAGTCAGCTATATGAGGACACTTCTACGCTGAAAGACCTACCGAGAGTCGAAACTCCGGTAAAGTATACGCCCTCGTAGCCGTACAGACAAGCCCCGAGGGCAGCGAAGCCGCAGCACAGCCAGACGTAGGGATACTTGACGATGCTTTTCGGCATGTTTCTTTTCTCTCCGCGGACGGATGGCCGCGCGTTAAGTTACAGGGCTGAAAGGGAGGGGGGAGGGAGGTTTGACCCTTTCCTTTTCTTCAACGGCAACGGCTTCTGGGTCTAGCTCTGTTTTGGAATAAGATATGGTATGGGGAAGAAGTTATCGGTGATACCGTGCAAGTGGATACGATGATATTAAAACAGTTGATGGATCATGGAAGTTCAGCTGCGAGCTCCAGTTAACGTTACAGCAATGACAAGGCTCAGGGTACAGGGCCAAGCCTCAGAGTGAGGAGTGGTATCACGAGTTGCTCACTCACGCACTCAGTAACTTCCCATCTTCAAGCCCCCTTTTCTCTCCTCCAACAGACCCATTGCTTCTGGAACCTCGCTCCGAGCTCGCTTAGAAGAGCTTCTCCCAAGTGCCCCAAACGATTGGGCTCAGATGGAAACCCAAGCTAACCCGTCAAAAGTCAGGATCATCGAAATAAAGTTTCACCCGAGTCATGAAGCTTTACCTCTTGAGGAAGCGCCGCGCCATCTTGATGCCGGGGCTTTTCTCAAAAGGGACCATTCGGGAAACGTGGGTGCGAAAAAAACAGGAGCACGGTTGCATTATGTGATTATCATTCTTTTTTTAAACTCACAGACTCATTCCATCTCACTCTTTGTTCACTTCCCACTTCCTTGCGAGGAAGACGCCTGGACCATCAGGTCCGTCGATGGAGTCTTGAAGAAAAAGCTTCGACCATTCGGCTACTGTAGTGTAGGTAGTTGAGCTATCACTCCCTAACCTAAGGTATCATTGGATTGAGAACGCCAAGAAAGGTTGTCTCCGAAATGGATATAATTAGACGTTGCTTCACTTTATTTCGTTCGCAGTCAACTAACAGACAGCTTCAACCTGGATGACCACCACCACCACCACCAAATACAGCACAGTACTCTGCTTCACACTCTCTCAACACCACGATTATGCGATCAATACTCCCTGTTCCAACCCCACCACCCGAATCATGTCCCTACTCTCGCGAATCAAACTACCAAGCTTCCGCCGATGTCATTCCTCTGCTCATTGATGATACATACCACGTCTTTCACCTCAGCACCCCGCCAGCCACAAAGCACCACCCAGAGCGTCTAAGAGCAACATGGTCGCGACTCCGATCAACAAATCTTATCGAATGGGAGCGTGATCCAGAGCCTGTCTTGTCACCTGGTGAGTCAAGCTCTGATCCAGATGCCGATGGTGCTTGGACTGGGTGCACGGTGCTTGACTTGGACCAAAACATGAACATCTTTTACACGGGGTATAATTTGTCGCAAAATGGTCGACAGACGATACTTCGTGCCAAAGCAAAAGATCTTCATGGTGCGAGGTTTGAGAAAGACGCAACACCAGTCACAATTCATCCCCAAGGACTCGATAAGTATGAGGACATTGACTTTCGAGATCCCTTTGTCTTTTATAACCGCGCCGAAGGTCGATATTGGATGCTTGTAGCTACTCGACTGGCCAATGGCCCGTATTGGAGTCGCGGATGCATCGCATTGTTAACATCCCCGGATCTCGAGGCCTGGACCGTTGCGCCTGAACCTCTATACGCCCCCAACGACGTCTTCTGTCCCGAATGTCCAGAGATCTTCACACTGCCCAACGGAAAGTGGTATCTTGTGTACTCGCGCTTCCACGCTCCCAATGCAGGAACAGTATATCGCATCGCTGACGCACCATACGGACCATTCCGCGTGCCAAGGGATGGATCTCATGGCCGACTCGACGGGCGCCGTTGGTACGCAGCCAAGTCATGCCCTAAAGCGGGAGATCCCGACAAGAGAATCACCTTTGGCTGGATTGGAGACTACGCGGACGATGAGAAGAAGTGGCTTTGGGGAGGTGATCTTGGTGTCACTAGAGTTATGTGGGCGGACACAAACGCCTGCCTGCGCATTGATGCTTCTCAAGAGTTTAGAAGTTACATATGGCGATGCTCCAAGCCTGTTTCGCCTAGCAATGCTGCTCCAAGCTTATATCTCTGCTCCCTCGGCACAACAGCGACTCATTTCCCTGAGCTGGGCTCTGCGGAGTGGAAGAAGGATCTCATGGTAGACTTCAAAGTCGCAGCTTGTGATGCCCATACTTTTGGCGTCATGCTTCAGACCGACAGCTCAGGTAAAGGTCATCGTCTCCAGTTCAACTCGCAGGGAAACGGCTTCTTCTCCGTCGCCCTCATGACCGACTTTCCACCCCTCGACGATTTCTGGGCAGATCAGTACCGTATTTATATCCCCCGACCTGTCGACGGTCCCGAATTAGTACGACACGATAACGTCAGTCTCGTCGATGGAGTCTTCCTCTTTTTGAGGGGTCAGCTCGTCGAGGTATTCTGCGGAGGACGAGCGCTGAGTTTCCGACTACCTATACCGCCCAACTGGGCAAGCGGCGAGCGTGACGGTGTGCGCAGGTTGGGATGGTTTGTGGAAGATGGTATGGTTGATTTAGTTGATATTAATATGCGGCATTCGAGGGGTTGCAAGGACAGCTCAGTTGAGTCTGACAATGGCCTCGAAGATGCTGACTAATTTCTTCTATTAACCTTTCCGCCGCATTCCTCCCATTTGCGGCCCCTTCATCCAAGATCTCTCTGCGGCATCATAGGATTTGGTTGAATGACCAAACCGCTGAGAAGATCATAAGGCCCCGACGCGCCCGCAGCGAGGTCCCAGTCGCCGAAATCAGTATATTCATAAACATCAGCACCATAATTGCCCATCATGGGGCTAACTTTATCATTAAGCGGCTCATTCAAATTTACCGCAAGAGAATGCTCCAGGCCGCGCAATATAGCCCCCTCCAGTCGATTAACTGCATATTGCATCGGTTGGTGGCTTTTGCTCATCATGCGAAGGTTCCAAAGATACGAGTTCAGGGTTTCCTGCCAGAAATGTCGCTCCTGCGATGATAACGAAGTGACGAGAAGTAATGTGGTGAAGGAGCCGAGGAGCGAGAAGAGGTAGGGTGACGTGAAGTACCAAAACGCCTCGAGATGGTCAGGTCGCAAGCTTATAACAAAAGATATGGCGCTCTGAGCTGTCTGAAGCGCAATCTGTCGAATGCTGGAGAGGACTCGATCGTCCGAACACCGCGGTGGGAGTGCTGTAGAGCGTATTAAGCGGCGCAGCAGGGTCATTACGACGCCGTAGTAGGAGAAGTGCAGATATCCGTGGAAGCACAGTTTGCGCTGGTAAATAACGTTCATCTGCAGTGTCGGCGGAATGCTATGGTACCAATTCGTCAACATCTCGAACAGCGGCCGGGCTTTTTCCCAGAGAATAATGGTATCTTGCTCACGACAGGTCCGCGCTGTGTAAAAGTTGGAGTAGACAACGGATAGAATCTGCGTCAACCGCACCATCTGTATAAACTGCGTCATGCCAGTCGCAGCAATAGATCTCCGGTCATCATCAGAGCCAGATACAGAAACAGAACTAGAAACCGATCCAGAAGCGGACACCGAAGCTGCGTGGCCTTCGCTGTCGAAATCAGAAAAATCGCCCGGTGTAAGATCGCCCACTGTCCAGTCATCGTCGTGAATATGCACAGGACGTCCGTAAGCCAATGCCGTCCAGCGATCCTGCATGAATAGCGCCCAGCTGAGCCGCTTGCGAACATTGCGCTCCCATTGCGGAATAGTCCAGTTGCTCGCATCAAGGTGAAGCCCAAGACATTGGCCGATCGCAAGCGCCTGGCAGGTCAGGCCCCATTGGAACGTGTGGTCCGGGTTGAGGGGGTCCTCGGGCTGGCACTGCAGCAGAAGGAGGGCGGCCTGGATGGAACTGAGCTTTGGGCGGTGATAAGATGCCGGTATGGCAGACCGTAGCATCCTGCGGAGGAGGGCGGCGTCAGGGGGGTTTCTGATGGAGAGCTCAGGGTCGTAGGTCCACCAGCGAATGGCGGATAGATAGATGGCTCCGAGGAGGGCGGCGGGAATCCGTCGGTATGACTGGCTGTAGGCAAGGGTAAAGGGGTCCTTGGAGAGGATGGGATAGCAAGGTTGGACGTGTCTCCAGAAGAGCTCAACGAGACTTGGGCCGTGAGGACGAACACAACTCTCGATGGCGTCGACCTGAGAAAATGTCGGATCGCCTTCAACTGCTTTTTCGTCACGAGCCATGTGAAATGTCAAGGGATACTCCTGACCGTCATCTCTCTCCAGCACGCGTCGAATAGCATGTGTGTCGAGACTAAACTCGTGAGTCTGAGGATCGTAGGGTCGATGTCGCATTAGTATAGGTTCCATATCGCTCCCAAGACCATAAAGCTCTGCAAACCGCGTAGACGAGCATCCCATAGTGCGATCCAGGGGACCAAGCTCAGGGACCATGACAGAGGGCGGAGCGAGAGGAATGCCGCTATCAGCAGAAGCTCGGGTTTCAGCAGGAGATAAAAATGCCTGGACCGAGGGGACGGAGTGAACAGATTGGACATCGTCTCGCGACGCTTTCCGGCTCTGGCTCATGCTCCGCGCTGACGTTTGGCTCTGGTCCTCATGACCGACATCGTCCTGCGGCTGTTGCAGGGAGATTGTATTTGAGTTTGGACCGGTAACACCACTACTGCCACTACCGCTGGCGACCTGTCGCTCCGGAGGATCATGCTGAAAGGTACACGGCGTAGCTCTCAGCTGGCAGTGGACGCAGTCACCGTCGCCGTCCTTTGTAACGCAGCGAGTCTTGCGCTTCCGACAGGCATCACAGGGACGAAGACTGCGACGCTGTCGCTTGCGAGCGTTGTTCTGATAGTCCTGGGGTGTGATGATTTCCATTTGTCGAGGAAGAAGGGCGGAGTTCTGCCATGTCCTGTTGGAGAGAAGCTGAGAAGCAAAGGTGAAGTGAAGTAAAGTGAAGTGGTGTAAGTTGTAAGTAAGCTTCTCTCTCGGTCTTAAGAACCTAGAATCCACTCCCCGCTTGTACTTATTTCCCTGTCGTGTCCGTGTCTCAAGCTATTGCAGAGGTCTTGGGTCTTGGTATGGTCTTACGCAAGGCAAGAAAAAAAAGAGGATTACATATACAACAAACAAGATCGATCGATAGGTAGAGAAAAAATAACACACAACTACCGATCTTCGACCCTGCTTACTCGGCTCTTGGCCCTCGAACAAGCTCTCTTGGCATGAGGCTGTGTCGATAGACGAGTGACACTGAGCCCTACTGACAAAGTTGTATGTACAGTGAACTCGGCTCTAACGGTTTTGTTCTCTTTGGTGCGAGGAAGATAGGATGGTGGTGGTGATGATCGTTTAATACAAGACAAGACAAGTTCGTCAGCCTCAAAGTCAAGTTTCAGCTCAGGATCAGGGTTTCTTGGGATTTCTGACACAGACACCGCTGAATCAGCTCTTTCTCTCAGTGTTTCCTTTTTCTCTTGTTTATTACTTTTACGGTATCTTCAGTGGCTTTTTTTTTTTGTTTCATTGAATGGCTTTTGGCTGCCACGCGCCATTTTAAGCAGATGACGGTGGAGGCTGGGCTGAAGGAAAATAGGTTGGTCACGGTCACGGCCACTTCGCTCGTGTTGTATCCCTGTCTGCAAGGTTCAAACGGGACAACCTGGGTTGAGCTGTCGCCTGGGCTGCGTGTCTCTCCCGTGCAGAAGCAAGTCCCCAGTTGCCATCTGCAGCAAATAAAATAGAGTTGGGCCCGTCTTTCTGGCCCATGTAACGCCCTCCCTGTGGCTGCACACTAAAAAGGGATCAAGACAAAAGACAAGACGCCATGGCATGGAACCTGGCGTTGCTCCTCGTACCAAGAAACAAGACCGGCGCCGTCTCCATTCTCTAGCATTCGGTGGAACTCAGAAACTGACTTTTTGCCCTTTGTGTGCACCGGTTCCGTGGGCTCGGGAGTTGGGGTATGCCAATGGTCTTCTAGTGGTGGTGAGTGGTAGTGAGAGTCTAAGAGGGGGGGGGGGGGACGCCTGTGCCGTTGGCGCCGAGTCTTGGCAAGAGGGCGACCCTGAAATTCTGATTTGATTACTTTACTTGGCTTTTGATGACGTAGAGTAAAGGATTCCCTTTGGTCCCTTTCGGATTCAACCGTCATGACCTCATTCTCCCAGAGCCTCTCAAGCCTCTCTCTATCAACATCTCAATGTCAGATTCGCACTGTAGACGATGAATAGAATCTCGGACAAAAACCTAGAAAGAGTTGTATTGCCAAGATCTACATCAATTCGCTTCTCAACCAACAATCGTGGTCTATGCGTGGCTTATGTAGTATCATGCCAAGAACCTGCATCAGCACGAATGGGCCAAGCTATAACAAGAAATTCAAAAAGAGAAATTCAAATCTTGCAGATCATTTTTCCCTCATTAGCAATCATCCAATTGTTACTGAACCATTGACTGCACATCAGAGGGCTTATCTCGACCCTGGGGCCTGGGAACTGGTATGCAACCAAACCTAAACCTAAACCGCAAATATTGTTGCAATACCCATACTCCCAACAACGCTATTTCCACAAGCCCTTTTTTCTGTCCCTAATTAATTGAAACTAGAACCAGCAACTTGAACTCACGCCATTCTGACATTTAACGCTTATCCTTTTCCATGCCAGTTTCTTTTGAAACAAGTTCTACTACCCAGTCTAGACCAACCTCAGACCATTCGGCCCAAGCTTGACTAGGTCAGACCTTGGAGTGCAGCACACTCAATCGGCATGTGTTTGATTAGTTCCCTTGGAGCAGCCTCTACAATGTGCAGAAAGGGTCACGTACTCCATCTTCAGGGTTGCAATTGCCATGGTGGCGTTTCGATTGCCCCCAACTCCCGGCTTAGGGATGGATTCCTTGTCGATTCTTTCGAAGATCATTGAGGTTGCGGTCGATGAGTGTAGCAAGTGCGGACTCACAGTGATCACAGCTGAACGACAGAAGCAACTCCAGCCACCGTCATCACGCAGTTGCATCGGCCAGTGATGCTAAGGAACACCCGCTTCGATAGCTCACTGGCCAAGCCCTCATGAAGATCAATGCAACAACATTTCAATGAGCAAATAGTGATTCTCCTTTCATATTCCTACCCACATCCCCGTTGAAAATCACCTCAGCGAATCGGTATCATCCCAGCTGCCGGTATGTTGATCCAACTTCAAAAGAACCCTCTTCACTAGCCTCATCAAGTTAGGGAGAAGCCGTTTGGTCAGAAATACATGTGCAACGCCTCCGGGGGACCTGTGGTCGAAGGAAGAGTGCAGCCTCTCGGGTGCCTTTCTCCCGTTTTTCTTAACAGCTTGCGCGCCGTTCCGTGGTAATCTGCGGCTGAGGGGCTCGTGATCACCGTCGCTCGGACGTTTGGTTATTTCAACTAATCCTGCAGCATGGCTGAGGCGCCGTCTTGGCTCGAGGACAGGGACATAAGTGGTTTTTGGAACGGGTAACTTGCTAACGGTTCTTGGTGTAAGCCTATCTCTTGGCAGGCGAAATGAATTCATTCCATGTGATCACTTCGTTGTGAAGTTTGCTGTCAAAGAGCTATCTTGAAGTTCGTATTCTTGGATTTGCTCTTGAATACCGACTATTTTAGATCTCCCACTTAGCTAGTTTACTAGATATGTGTCTTGAACCATAAGTACACGGTCCTTCGGGGCTATAGATGCAATATTGGACATTTTGACTTCTTTGACATGCCTTAGGACTCTGTGTACTTTAGGCAACAAGGAGTATGCCCGCTTGAAATTTCGGTGATATTCCGCTGTTTTGAAACCTCGGCACTACTTTTGAGTTCCAGTGTCAAGACTTCCGTTTCCATTCATAAACTTCTCAACAGTCAACAGTAACAAGTGCTTTCCATCATGAGGATAATCTCCACGAAGTTGCCGATTAGCGGACGATGAACAGGGGTACTCTACTAAATCGTCGACCACAAGAGGCCTCCTTCTTATTAATAGAGCTCGGGAATAAGTGATCGACTAACTGACGTGGAGATCTTTACAATAGTGTCAAGTTCTCGATGATCTTTTCAAAGGATTATGGTACCTACACACGACCCCCTGATGCTGTTGGAGCTGGTATAGGGTAAGCATCTTCTGGGATTGACGGTGTTCAGCCACAACTTCACTAACACTCTACGCCACCCGCTAACTCACCGAAGCGCACTGGCGGGCTTCTAGCCTAACCGCTCCAACACTACGAAAGCCGACAGATATCGGGAATTCATACGAGTTGCATGAGTTTTGATACGCCTCTTTTTTCTTTTATATCGACCATCGCGAGGTACTGAGTCGTGCAGTTGCGGCGAAAAGCTTTGTTAGTGCCCCAGTTCTTCCTAGACCTCCACTACCTGAGACACCAGCGAAGGATGCTGCCAAATGGATACCAAAGACGATAGCATCAAATATCGGACAAATAACTAGAACCTAGCGTCGATAAACGATGGGCATATTGCTCCGGAGGCCGCCTAAACGGCAAAGCATAGTAATCAACACATCGATCCTCGCACAAGTCAACTCAGCGCATTGACTGGCTTGATCAGCATTTTTACTAGCGATGTTGTGCAGCATAGAGACTAGACCAGAATAGGCATCTCGATATTGAATCCCAGAACGTGACATGGATGGAGGAAAGTGTATCGAGGAGCCATTGGCAAGACATGTTGGGTCGCTGAAATGGGCAATTCAACAGAGGCCCGAAAAGCCTGTGGCGATTAGCACATCCAGTGAGTGATTGTCATGTCCGCGAATGTCGGAGGCGAAGACGGCGTTAGCCATGGGGGGTTTTAAGCTTAAAGACTAAAAACTAAATCGCCCCAGAATATCAAGATGATCAATGATCCACGACGACAAGTCGCATGAGTCAGTTTGTGAAAGAGGAAATGTAACCCACCCGTCATTTATTACATTACAGGGACATTGATCAGCTTAAAGATAACACGGTTGATTGACAGATAATTAGACTTCCTGCTCACGGGCGAGTTACCGCTCCAAAGCCGTTTGACCGGCGCTATAAAGCAAAACCTTGCCCATCAGCATCTGTCGGACAAACCCGCCCAAGATCTATTCTTATCATGGCGAACTCCGTCTTGGCTGATACAGACAATCTCTACACGTTTCTACGCAGTGATAGATAATACGATAGCTACACTATAGCTGACAAGGAAGGAGAAGGAGATTGAGTGAAGATATTCCCTCGGCTGGCCACTCACGTTGCCCACGTGTGTCTTGGCGATCCTGTCTCATGGAACCTTTGCTCGACCCCAAGTCTTTGATCGGCCGGGGCCGTTGTCAAAATAAAGAGGGCGACGGGCCTATTTTCTGATGATGATGAATTGTTCACCTTTTCTTTGTGTGTAGGTCAACATCATGAAGTCGTCAATTACTCTGGGTGCCCTCGCTTTGGCGGGCTTGGTATCTGCTGAGGATGTCCTATATAGCAAGCGACTGAATAAGCGATTCGTCGATGATGATGGACACTATAACATGTGTATGTGATCAATTTGCGTGATGAGTGGTTCAATTGACTGATTCGTGTAGCGTTCTTTCACGTCAACGACGTTCACGCCCATCTCGACGAATTCGCAAAGTCGGGCACTGACTGCGTGGATCCCAAGAAGGGTTGTTTTGGCGGTTACGCGCGCATAAAGCACACAGTCGATGGGCTTCGAAAAGATCACCCCGATAACCTCTGGCTCAACGCAGGCGATGAGTTCCAAGGCACGCTGTTCTACTCGTTCTACGGACCGTCCAAGATTGCTGAGAACCTCAACACCCTGAAGTTCGATGCCATGACGCTTGGTAACCATGAGTGGGATGGCGGTGATGAGGAGCTCGGCGAGTTTCTCCAGAACCTGACGTTCCCCGTCGTCTCATGCAATGTCAAGAGTGAATACGAGGGACTGAACAAGACGATCAAGAATTACCAGATCTTCAAGGAGCATGATCTGGCCGTTATCGGTGTCACCACTGACACCACGCCTGGGATCTCGAGTGTCGGAAACAAGACTACCTTCCTTGACCCCATCACTGAAGTGCAAAAGTCTATCTGGGAGATTCGAAACAAGACTGACATCAACCGCATTGTCGCTCTAACCCACATTGGCTACGATGTCGACAAGGAGCTTGCTGCAAAGACCGAGGGTCTGTCCCTCATCATCGGCGGTCACAGCCACACTCTTCTCGGCGACATGGAAAAGGCAGAGGGCGATTATCCCACGATAGTCAAGGACATCAACGGAGACGAAGTCTTTATTGTCACTGCCTACCGATGGGGCGAATATCTCGGCTCCATCGATCTGACCTTTGACAAGGACGGCAAAGCCCTCGAGTACCACGGCGCTCCTATCCATCTCACCAACCAGACCGAGATGGATAAGGCTCTCAACAAGACTATTAAAGGGTGGCGCAGTCCTTTTGAGAAGTTCGCTGCTGAGGTTGTCGGAAACACGAAGGCTGAACTTGATCAGTCAACGTGTCAAGAGGGAGATTGTCTTCTCGGCCAGGTCATGGCTGACGCAATGCTC